GCTTTCCTTGAGCCTCCAGGAGGGCAAAAATGGCCTCCCTGGGCTCCAAAGGCTCTCTGCAGGCTGGAAATGGGCCCATTTCAGGCCTTCCTGAACTTCTGGGAGGCCTGATTTTTGTCCTCCCTGGGCTCCGGAGGCTTTTCTCAAGCCTCCAGGAGGGCAAAAACAGACCCTGGGCTCCGGAGGCCCTTTGGAGGCCGGAAACAGGCCCATTTCCAGCCTTCTGAAGCCTCTAGGAGGCCCATATTTTTTTGCTCTTCTTGAGTCTCCACATGGGCCCTGCACTTGCCTAGCATCCAAAATGGGCTGCATGGAGACTCCTGGGAGTGGCTGGGAGGGGCCAGTCAGTTTACCTAATTGGTAATTAAAAATGATAAAATTAGCTACCGGTTTGCCCAAACCGGTGCGAACCGGTAGAAGCCCATCCCTGGTTTTTATTGCCCTGCTTCTGCCAAAAAAATAAGTTGCCTTTCTGGAATGGAATTTAAGGTACAATGCTTAACGAAGTTTAAAGTTGAAATGGAACATTTTGATTTGATTTGAATCACTTGATTTGAACAATTTGCAGCTTAGTAAGATCACACTTGGAATATCGCGTCCAGTTTTGGTCACCACATTATGCGAGAAAGTTTTTGAGACTTTGGAAAAAGTGCAAAGGAGAGCAAGTAAGGTGATTGAAGGCCCGGAGATTAAAACCTATGAAGAACAGTTGCAACAGGAATTGGGTATGGCTAATCTAGAGTAAAGAGGGACTAGGGATGACGTGATAGCAGTCTTCCAGTATTTGAGGGGCTGCCCCAAAGAAGGGGGGGTCAAGTTATTCTCCAAAGTAGCCCAGGGCAGGACAAGAAACAATGGGTAGAAGCTAATCAAGGAGAGAACCAATCTAGAACCAAGGAGAAACTTCCTAAAAGTGAGGACAATTAACCAGTGGAATGGCTTGTTTTCAGAAATTGTGAGTGCATCATCACTGAAGGCTTTGAAGAAGAGAGTGGACAGGCACTTGTGTGAAATAGTATAGGGTCTCCTGCTTGAGCAAGTGGGTTGGACTAGAAGACCTCCAAGGTTCCTTCCAGCTCTACTTTGAATTGAAATTGAAACTTTCCCTATACAAACATCCTCACTAATTGGAGATGCAATGCATCACGTTTTACTAAGTTTCAGGATTCAACCCAGCAGGAAAAAGGAAAATAAAAACAACCCCTTTCATTCTCCCCATTCCTTATCCAGAGAAAACATTTCTTCTTCATGAAACAAAATGAACACTTTGGTTCCAAGCATTTAGATTATTGCAAAGCTCACTTCTATAATAGTTTGGAGCAAAATTATCCCCTATTGCATGAATCGCTATTACAGTTATGTCCGTTCCCAACAGTAGGAGCGCCCTCTAGTGTACAATAGCAGTCAAACATCCACATGCAATCAATCACATGTATTTTGTCAAGAATAACTTAATAAAATATTAATTATACTGTAGGTGTTAACTACCAACTGATGGGTATCTCAAAGGGATTGTCCCGAATGCTTTGTTCTTTTTTCTCTCTTTGAAATAAGATGATACATTAAAACATGAAGCTTCTTTGCACAGCACCAAACCTATTGTTCATTTTGCTTCCAATGTTGACTTATATTTCTTTCCAAGTCACATATGATCAAGCCTTCAAGGTCACCAAGGAAAGGAACAATAGTTACTTCAGAGATATTTTATTATTATTATTATTATTATTATTATTATTATTATTATTATTATTAATTTATTTCTAAAGCTTGACAACTTTAAGATAGGTGGACAGTCACTAAATGAACTGTTGTAAGTCAAGGATTAGCTGTTCTAAACAAAATACAGGCAGAATGATTATAGCTTCTTGCTCACATGTTCTTCTTTCCCAAGACTGAATATTTTTTTGGGAACCTTCTCCCTCCCTAATTTCATCCCTTCCATATTTCCCAGGGTTCCTTCATCCCTTCCGTATCTCCCAAGGTTCCTTCATCCCTTCCATATCTCCCAGGGTTCCTTCATCCCTTCCATATCTCCAAAGATTCATTCATCCCTTCCGTATCTCCCAGGGTTCCTTCATCCCTTCCGTATCT